GTAAGGCGTTTTTTGTAGTTGGTCACCAGGTTTGCACACATCTCAGGAGGGATTTTGATCCACTCCTCTTTACAGATTCTCTCTATATCCTTAAAGTTTCTTGGCTGTCGTTTGGCAACTCGAAGTTTCAGCTCCCTCCACAGATTTTCTATAGGATTGAGGTCTGGAGACTGATTAGACCACTCCATGACCTTAATGTGCTTCTTCTTGAGCCACTCCTTTGTTGCCTTGGCGGTATGTTTCGGGTCATTGTCATGCTAGAAGACCCATCCATGACCCATCTTCAGTGTTCTGGCTGAGGGAAGGAGGTTCTCATCCAAGATTTTACAGTACATGGCCCCGTCCATTTGCCCCTCAATGCCGTGAAGTCATCCTGTACCCTTAGCAGAAAAAAAGCCCCAAAGCATAATGTTTCCACCTCCGTGCTTGACTGTAGGGATGGTGTTTTTGGGGGCATAGTCAGCATTTATCTCCCACCAAACACGGCGAGTCAAGTTAATGCCAAAGAGCTCAATTTTGGTCTCATCAGACCACAGCACTTTCTCCCAAGCCTTCTCTGAATCATTTAGATGTTCTTTGGCAAACTTTAAATGGGCCTGTACATGTGCCTTCTTGAGCAGGAGGACCTTGTGGGCGTAGTGTGTTACCAATGGTGACTGTGGTCCCAACTGCCTTAAGATCATTAGCAAGCTCCTCCCGTGTAGTTCGGGGCTGATCCCTCACCTTTCTCATGATCATCCTTACCCCATGAGGTAAGATCTTGCACGGAGCTCCAGACCGAGGCAGATTGATGGTTGTTTTGTATTTCTTCCATTTCCAAATAATCACACCAACAGTTGTATCCTCACCAAGCTTCTTGCTGATGGTCTTGTAGCCCATTCCAGCCTTGTGCAGATCTAAAATCTTGCCTCTGACATCCTTTGACAGCTCTTTGGTCTTACCCATGGTGGTGGGAGAGGTTGGAATGGAAGATACAGATTGTGTGGACAGGTATTATACACATAACGAGCTGACATTAGGAGTAACTTCTGTGTTCCACATGGGCACATAACCAATCTGTGGGAGCCAGAATTCTTGCTGGTTGGTAGGGGATCAAATACTTATTTCACTCACTGAAATGCAAATCAATTTCTAAACTTTATATAATGTGTTTTTTCTGGATTTTTTGGATGATATTCTGTCTCTATCTGTTAAAACAAACCTACCATAAAATTACAGACCCTTCATTTCTTTGTAAGTGGGCAAACTTACAAAATCAGCAGGGGATCAAATAAATATTTTCCCCACTGTAAGATTTTTCACTGGAGAATGTCATCTGAACAAGTAAGTAACAACTGCCACTTTTGTTCTGATCAACTGAGGAAAAAAGCAATAAATTACGCTATCAATGGTGATTAAATCTAATGATCGGTTAGCTCATATCACATCAAACCATGCCAATTATTATTATTATATTTTGTTTTCGAATTCAATCGGCCATTTATTCCAGATGGTGTGAGAAAAGGCTATAAACGATCCATCACCTGCAGCATCCTCACGTGCAATATAGCATACTAGCCAAGATAAATTCTTTATGTTTACAGACGTGACATAATGACGCAGCGCCATGCTCGAATTTCCCGCGAAAACCTACCCGTACCACTCAAATTAGAAAGCTTTATTACAAGCTTACCATTGTGAATCGAGCTAAAGTAAGGCAATAGTTTTGAACACTGGCAGGTTATATACCTGCTCAAAAACTGATTTTGGATCATTTTTAAACAAAAAAAGCTTTAAATAAAGCATTAAAAACCTTAATAAATGACTTATTCTACAAGTTTCTATGACTCTACCACCTGTCCTTTGGCTGCACAAGATGAGAACACTTTTTAATATATTTCTTGGGTCAAGAAAAAGTCAGAGTTTGTAAAATAATCCCCTAATGTGAAACATTTGCTGTGACTGCATGCGCTTAAATGTGCCGTATGACGCTTTCCAGTTACATATCGCACATGAGCACTTGAGTAAGCCAACAGGATGCAGGTTAAAGTGTTTGCATGCCGGGTGAAATTAGGGTAATGGATAAATATCTAGCTGTGTTGATCAGTTTATTCTCAAGCCGTTTATATCCTTATGCCGATAAAGGGAAACTGTTTACCGTGCTTACATGACCACATGCATTGCCACAAGCATAATCGGTTTAAGAATGTGCATAGAAATGCACTCATTGGTTCTTGCAGAGGCTCGAATGTGCTTGTGTAACACATGACAACAAACCTCAAAAGTAAATAATGAAAGAATTTTTTTTTTTGCTGGGGGGGGGGGGGGGGGGTGTTTAAGCTGCAAAAATATGAAAAATCTCATATGCTGCCACCATAAAACATGTCTGAGCTAGTGCTTACCACTTTCTCCCGGGAGCGCAGCACTCCCATCTTGCCGAAACGGACGTGAAAAGGTGAACACTGCAGAGTTCCGTCGGGCTGACGCACCACAATAACATCGATACAGCCGGACAGGGTGGCAGGGTTAAGGCCTCTGTACAGCTCCTTCACCTGCACAAAAACCTGACCGGCTAGCTGACCCACGTAATTCATGGTCTGACTCTGAAATAGAGAGATGTCAAGCTTTTAAAGGCAAACATGAAACTACTCAAATCAACACCTTAAAATCATCTTAAAATCTCTATTTTGTTTTATTATGTTCCAATAATGTTCTCTGTTGCTCTTTTACATGTAACAAACAATTTTCGATTAATAAACAAGTATTTTATCATTTTATCATTAAATCAAGCAATATAATTCTCTGTGCACTTCAGCACTAAAATTAATAGCTGTTTGTGTGAAAGTGCACAGTCAAGTATGTAAAGGCAACTGTGATGTTGATGAGCCATCTGTGTGTGTGTTTAGTGAGTATGATAACATTAAACATCTCTACAATAAACAGTATACGATTGTGTGAAATTTTGCAGCTGCAGCCCTAATGGAGAAGAAAAAAACCTGTAGCGTGAACTAGGTCTAATAAAAACATGCTGCCTTACTCAACTCGAGCCAAGATCTCTTTGACTATTTAGGTGAAAGGTAAAATATCATAGAACCCCCTAAGACTGCAAGCGGTAGATACAATGACATTGCTCAAAAAAGTATTACAAATGGTGTTCCTTAAGCATTGCCAAGGGTTTAATAATGCCTGATTCTGGCATGCTCTACCAACCCAGAAAACTACTGCCTCTCTGTAGTGCACAACACGTAATGTTTAAAGTAATTAGCTAATTGCAAGTTATTGCAGTAATTGTCTGCAATAAAAAAAAAAAATTAAATCCTGTGTACACTATATCACAATACGCAAGCTAGGGCTTGCGTAATTCTGATCAGGCAGAGCAAGTTGGTATTAATGGGAAGGAAAAAAAGAAAAATAATTTTGTATGCATGCAGAGTTCCCACACTTTTTGAACAATTTATTTAATGACTTGCCCATGACCCTTCCAGCTGTTCATGATTACTAAAAGATTTATTTAGAATTAATTTTACAGAGATTGCTGGGCAGATTTTCATTTGTTTGTCAGGTGGCCATTTTCTGAATTAACAGATTTAAATATTTATATTTAGTTCTGTACAAATGACCCTCAGCGAACTGACTGAAGGTCAAGCATTTCAAGCCAAATAAATATTTTAGGGAAATACAGAACTAGACATTCACTACAGACTTTGCCTGGAAATCACAGTTTTAAAATTCCCTAATCTTTTTAGGTTTTCCATGACTGTGGAAACTCTGGCTTTTAGAAAAACCTGACAATCGAATAAACCCAAATAATTTGCCCGTAGATGTAACCCTGAGATTGTGTAAAAACCTTCAAGCAAGTCTTCATTGTTCATACACAACAGACTGATCCTTCACATTTAGACAGATGCACACAGTCACATGGGACTGACATGGCTCCAATAGTTCTGCTATTAGATATTGGTGCCAATAATAGTACAAGCATCCAAATGTACAGTGTTTGCAGTGTATGCAAATGTATAATGCTTAATTTGACACTAGAGCTGCAGGATAACTACTGCATAATAGCCTATAATCACAAACACTTTAAGACTCATCTCAACTAATTACAACAGAATATCATCCATGCAAGGAGGTCACTGCTAAGGTCATTAAAAATGAATAATGCGCACACACACACATTACAATCAGTACTGAATCATGGATAATAGATCAAATAGAGAAATGACATAGAAGTATTCTGCTGTATATCAAAAAAAAAATGTAGTTAATTGAAATTAAATCCACGTCTAGAACATAAAATATATATAATCGTATAACTGCACGATTGATACAGAAACCGAATGTCACGGATCATTACAGTCACAGGACCCAATGAATGTAAACAATCATCCGCTGTGCTGTAAGAACAAGCCCCCTTCACAGTGCATATGAATATGTTAACCCAAACAAGTGTATGCATTTACATTTGCTAATGACTATAAACAGGATGGAAATAAGGGGCCAGAGAGGGATGAAATTCCCTGTAATACATACGTGGGATGCGGCAGAGGCGTTAGGATGTCACAGCCATTCAAAAGTACTTGGTGGATCCTCGGACGCTGCTGAATCCGGTTGATGTTCGCTGCTCTTCGCTCATGTATTTTGTCTCCAGCGTTTGACACACTATCTGTTCACTGACTGTCTGTGCTGGTGTTGTATTTAAAGCAGTGTGGAAACGGTTTGCGGTGAGTAGCAGCCCCTGCCTCTGCAGCTGACATCACAGTTAACCCTTTGCGCCCATCTATATTGCTAGCTACGCGACGCGAAAAACAGCTATACAGTCAATGAAGCTGCCTGCCGTATCGATTAGTATGCGCGCGACGCGTCTTTCACGTTTGTGGTTGGAGTCATGACGTCTCACACAGTGGACCAATCAAACACTTTGTTGATGCGACGCAACGCGACAAGAACGCTGCAAACAAGCGTCAGCGGCATTACTTGTTCAGTACAAGGCATTATAGTTATTTTAATCATCTTTAACATTCCGTTTTCAAGTTTTTTTTAACGCAATTAGCGTTTATTCGATGTTTGTCCACTGTGTTATTATGACGGTGAACAGCTCTTTGTGGTTGCGTTTTAAAATAACAGATCAGTCAATGCATCAACTGAAATCCACAATTAACTGCCTAATTTATATTTCATTCTAATTGCTTGCTGAATATGGCATTGCGGTGGTGAAATAATGCCGACAATGCATTACATTTAATGCACGCGTTTAATGGATTTAACACACAATCTGCTCACGTGGCAGGAAAGCAGCAGCTGCAGCAGCTGAACTGGCATTCCAATGTTTACAGTAGCATGAGTTGTGTGTCTGTGGCTGTAAGTCGTCATAGAAAAGATATGTGGGTGATTGAGTGGTGGTTTACTGATTAATATTCCACCACCATTGCATGCTCTCAAAATTGAAAGTTTTTTCATGTCTCATACAGCTTAGTATGTTCATACACTGAACAAAATTATAAACACAACACTTTTGTTTTTGCCCCCATTTTTCATGAGCTGCTTTATGGTATGGGCAGGCGTATGTTATGGACAACAAACACGGATGCATTTTATTGATGGCATTTTGAATGCACAGAGATACCGTGACGAGATCCTGAGGCCCATTGTTGTGCCATTCATCCACGACCATCACCTCATGTTGCAGCATGATAATGCACGGCCCCATGTTGCAAGGATCTGTACACAATTCCTGGAAGCTGAAAACATCCCAGTTCTTGCATGGCCAGCATACTCACCGGACATGTCACCCATTGAGCATGTTTGGGATGCTCTGGATCGGCGTATACGACAGCGTGTTCCAGTTCCTGCCAATATCCAGCAACTTCGCACAGCCATTGAAGAGGAGTGGACCAACATTCCACAGGCCACAATCAACAACCTGATCAACTCTATGCAAAGGAGATGTGTTGCACTGCGTGAGGCAAATGGTGGTCACACCAGATACTGACTGGTTTTCGGACCCCCCCTGGACCCTCCCAATACAGTAAAACTGCACATATCTAATCAGCATCTTGATATGCCACACCTGTGAGGTGGATGGATTATCTCGGCAAAGGAGAAGTGCTCACTAACACAGATTTAGACAGATTTGTGTACAATATTTGAGAGAAATAGGCCTTTTGTGTACATAGAAAAAGTCTTAGATCTTTGAGTTCAGCTCATGAAAAATGGGGGCAAAAACGAAAGTGTTTTGCGTTTATAATTTTGTTCAGTGTAATTGCAGATGGGGAAAAAGAAAAACTGCACAGATGTACATCAGGGTACACCAAGTGTATCAGATGGTAACATATATAAATATTGTTAAGAAATGGAAGTGGATGTTAGATGCCACTAAAAGCATACATTCTTCTCATTCTGACATAGCAGTTATTGTAGTGTAATGTACTGTGGTAACCTGGGTGTCCTTTGAGAGGAATTTCAGACCTTATGTTTGTTTGAGTGGTTCAATGGAAAATGTGTGTGTGTGTGTGTGTGTGTGTTTAATTCAGCAACTGCTGCCTTTCTCTGAAAAGGGTGACTAAAGACGACATGTAACACTTTTGTATAGGGACCAATTCTCACTATTAACTAGTTGCTTATTAGCATGCCTATTATTAACATATTGGCTGTTTATTAGTACTTATAAAGCACATTATCTGCATGACCATATTCTACATCTCTAATCCTACTCAATACTAAACTTAGCAACTACCTTACTAACTATTAATAAGCAGCAAACTAAGAGTTTAGTGAAGCAAAAGTCGTAGTTAATGGTTTGTTAATAGCGAGAACTGGACCTTAAAATAAAGTGTGTTTCTGTGAAGTGCTATTCGGGCAATTAACAACCTAAGAGAATTTGCCCATGTTAAAGCAAGGACTGCCCAGCTATCCGATTACACAACGTATTGTCAGCATACACTCTATGACCTGTTGATTTCTCCACAGGACACACCAGAACACTAGAGTACATTCCAGATACACTGGTGGGGTTTCTAGGAATTGGAGAATGTGATTTAGATGGTCTGGGGTCTGAGGAGACTCAGGAGACTACCAATGCTTTGTGTGATTACAATGTCCAAGTTAAAATAACTATATATGAATATACAATTTATTGACATGGTGGTCAAGATACTAATAAACACTGATGTATTTATATTAACATTTCATAATGGATTGTGATTAGTTTTGCTGTCTCTTGGCAGTCATTATATAATAACACTTTGTACATAAATAGATAAAATATTCACTATATTTAGCTGTAATTATTACCTTATCTACCCTAAAGCCTGCCTGTATGGTTATTTACAGTGCAGTCTATAAGCTTATAGCACGTGACTGATTGTGAAAATACATTCCCAAGAAAACCAGTGAATGCCTTTACGTGGAGGAAGGGGGAGTCGCCTGGGATGGGCCGTTTCCACCAATCAGAGCCAGAGTGGTCTGTGACACAAGGCATGTGGGGTCATGTGTTGACTAAACTGCTGACCTTACTATTGTACAAGGGTAGACTGACACTGAGACTTTTCAGTGAAGTGGGGCCTGTTTTTCATTGTATTTCTGACGTCTCAGGGCAGTACATCATGTACCATAGGCATGTAAAATAAGTTCCTGTTCAGTTAGTATGATGTAAACAATGTTGAACGTATGCTTGAGGGCAATGTGCAGCAGATTGTGCGTGAACATGCAAAAACACTTTAATAATAAGCAATTACGACTATCACCTGATATTAAAATGGTATTATGATTTATCAAATTAATTATATGTATCAATATTTGCAGGCTACCTCATATTTATATATATATATATATATATATATAGACTTTCCTGGATATATGAGGAAGAAAACGTTTGTTGAGAGAATTAATTGACATTTTTAGTTTTTAGCCTATTTTTAATATTTATTATTATTATTATTATTTTATAATTCCTTGGTGGAGAACCTTAAGAACCTAGCCAGAACACACTGAAGGAGCATGAGTGAAAATAGACAATATTTGTACCATCTTGTCTCTTCTAAACCTCTTACACCACACAAGTGGAGTGCAAAAGTGGAAACCAAAGAACAGGCTTGGCTGGAAAATCATGCTGATGTCTGTTTATAGTCAATCAAGCTAAAGACCCTGATCTCAAAAAACAGCAGAACTGTTTCCTTCGTCTCAGCACAAGCAGACTCTTGCTCTGCTGCACTGGTAGCTTTACATCAGTTATTTCAGCCTTGATGTAGCACTGGCCATATTTAACTGCAAAAGGGAGGTCGATTGCATCAATCATTACAAACTTGCATCTGTTGTGTTGCATCTTTAAACTCGATTGAACATAGCAACCACAACAACCTAGCATAATTAAGGCTAAGGTAAGCAACATTAATATTTTCTTCAGAAAAAAAAAACGAGTTTGTAGGCTATTTGTGTTTAATTGCACTTTACTTCACAGAAGAAACAGTAATAAGGGCTCTTAAAAAATTAATCATGAATCCTTACCATTAGTGGGTTCTTTTATGACCGCAGCTGTGATTATGCAACAGCATACAACGCCTGACCTTCACTGATATCTGGAGATATTGCCTGACTTTTATTTAAACATCTTATGTTACCTCTTATTAAAAATACTCTGGTTTAATGATAACATTGTACAAACATCCAGTCACTTTGAAGGATGAATTTGCTCAAAGGTTGAACGCAAACCTGGTCAGTCTGCCCTGGTCAAATACACTTGTAACCTGACACAGTGACGCACTCAATGCTCTTTTGGTTCTAGGTCACATAACAGGCTCTAGAAGCAGCTCATGGTGTCCCTGCCTATGACTGTCCCCTAGTTGAGCCAAACGGACATTTGATATGCAGGTGCCAAAAATTCATATTTCACAGACTAATTAATAAACATCATAATATAATAACTATTCAAATCATCATATGTTAAACTATGCATTAGAACATTTATCTCAAATCCATGCATATTATATGCACTTTTGTTGTAACATGCTAATAAGTCATCCCTGAAATGAGAAACTTATTTGAAAATAACCATTTCAGAACAATCATTCCGGCCACAATCAGCACAAAATTAATTGAGAGTAAACAATGAAGCTAAACTAAAGCTATTCGAAAAGCTATTAAAAACTACAGTTAAAGCTTTAAACACAATAAACCCATTAAATTATGTTTTTATAATATCTGGCCCAGACAGACATTTTTCAGTATTTTATTCCATCATACTGAATATTAAACTGACAAATCACGGTGTGTTACCCATGTCCAGCTCGTCTCATTTGGGCTGAATCTCTCATTGCATCCTTCCACTTGATCCTCTGCTATCATGATTCCATTATCCACTCCAGTATATGAAATAAGCCTTTACTACAAAGCTGAGACTAGTCTTTATGCAATGCTTGTGCTAACAACTGAGCAGTGAGCTATATACTGGGCTTGAAGGTGTTTTCGTATACTAATTTTACCAAGTGTGTTCTTGGAATGGTGTCCACAGGCGAAACTTGAGAGGTCTGGCATGAAGAGCCTCAAGCTGTCAGGCCCTCCCTGAGAGAGGGGCTAACACCACAGCTTTCTCACAATTAGCATATATATATATATATATATATATATATATATATATATATATATATATATATATATATATATATATATACATACACATAC